TGATCAGGACAGTACCACTGAAGTGAAGGTGCTTGCTTATCGGAGAAGAAGCTACAAGCCTCCTTACTGCTAAAGAAGTTGTGCTCCTCCACCTTCACGGCAGGCTGATAGCTCTTTTGGAGCAGTTCATTGACGATGATGACGGGTTTATCCTGGTGAGCAAGAAGTTTAGTTTTAAAATCCGCACAATCAATCTCACCAGAGATCAGACAATCAATCTTTTCGCATTCCATTCTATACATTTTGGCAGCTTTAAATATCGAATAATGCGATTCTCGAAAAGCATACAGAATTCCATCTGGAAATACTTCTCTCCCAACTAAGACTTCATGAAGATTGCCTTCCGTGCCGCAATTGGTGATGTATCCCAATACTCATTCTTCTCAATCTCCCACAACCGAGCAAACCAATCGAGAACACCGACATCGAACTGCCTTGAATGGACACCGTAGTTGCTCTCGATAAACGGATCGCCCAAATTGTTGATGGAGAAATGCTGAAGCTGCATCAGAGCACCATAGTCAAAGTCCAAATTTTGGTGGCGATGATCAGAGCCGCTTGAACTCTGCAGCAGCGTGTTCAATCCAAGAGAGGGGTCTTCGATGTCACTCATTTTGGGCTTCCTGCTCGACAATCCCTCACAAAACCGCAAATTCAAATCTTCGAGCTGCTTGCAACACTGTCCCACGGCAGCTAGGCCCTGATCCCCAACATAGCAACCCGGCGTCCGAGTCGTCGAGAAAACCCAGGAGGTCTTCCGTTTGCTGCGGAATTGGAAGAATTTGAACCTGAATCTTCCCAGAGCGTGAAAGAGTGGTTGTAGAAGATTCTACCTGAGCGGTTGTTGAGGGTGAAGTCTCCGGTGGAGTCCGGCGTGATCTGGAGATCTGAGAGGGGTACACTGCAGTCGACTTCGGTGGCGTCGCGGGTTGGGGGGTCGTGCATCCAGAGGAGTACGGCCTACGGCCTTCTTGGTGTTGCCGCTGAGCTCGGAAGAGAGGCGCTTGGTGAGGTCATCGTGGTACATGGTTTTGTACTCCTGTTGGAGGTAGGCTCGCTGGGCTTTGGCTTTGCAAGTGGGGCATCTGGGAGATTGACAGCTTGCATCAGGTTTAATCTTGCAGGAGCAATTTAAGAGATCGCTCAGCTCGATGGCGTAGATTATGTAACGGCACCTGTCACAATCCGTATACTTGCGCTCCTCGATGCATATATACAGACGACGAGGACGAGTCTGCTCCATCTGTCCTCCTCCTGATCTCAACTGCAGCTCTTGGGTTTTTCCTCTTTCCGGGTTTGTCCTCCTGATTTAGGGATTTCGAATTCGAGTTGATTTGAACGGCAGCTCTTGGGTTTTTCCTCGTTTCTTCTTTGGGCTGCCTTTTTTTTCTTTCTGGGTTTTGTATTTTGGAAGGTTTGGAGATTTGGTTTCTGGCAGTCTGAGGGGCTATACTTAACTACAGAAGAATCAAGAAGCACATCATTTGCAGCAACCAGTGTGTACGTTTGATTTGGATGTGTTGATGGTGACAGCCCATGTGGTTGTCGTCCGGGAGAGAGAGAAAGTGGGATGGGCTTTGAGAGTGAGTAGGGCCCGGTTCTTTTGGGTATATGGGCCTTTGTCCTCAACACAACAATCCAGCCCACCATTTTGGGCTTGTCGACATTTTGCTTTCTTTCTTTTTTTTTTTTTTTTTTTTTTAGTAGAGAATATATTTATATATATTTTCTAATACATAGTAACATATGTATTTTTTTTTTTTTTGAAACCAACAACATGTAATTTTTTTTTGTACAAAGAACGTAATAATATTGACTTTCATTAGTCACTTTTACTACAACCTCATTTTGATGTGACTGAACTCAAAATTAAACGTTCGAGCTACCTACGTACCCTTCCAACGAAGAGATCAAGTCGAAACGTAGTTCAAACATTTTTATTTTTTTTATTTTTTATGATGGTGTGACTGTACTTGAAGTTTTGAAGTTTCAAGTTGCCTACGTACCCTTGGTTGAGGAAGGATCAAGTCATGACGTAGTTCAAACGAGTGATGGTTTTGATGATGATTTTGATGATGATTTTGCCATACACAGTTTATGCTCTTGCGGGCCAGGAGCTTTTGTTGTCGCCTTTTATGCTCGTGCGGACAAGGAGCTTTGGTTGTCGCCTTTTAGGCTCGTGCGAACGAGGAGCTTTGGTTGTTGTTGTGGATTTGTCAAGCGATCTGGGAGAGGCGTTCCTCGCAATCTTCATAGGAAGGAGCCTTGACCGAGTAATTGAAGAAGTCTTCTGGGAAGAGGTCGCACATTGTGATGGGGATGGACGATCTTTGTGTCGAAATTTCATTATCTCCAACACTTTCACATTGTTCTGGAGGTTGACAAGAGCTGTTTTGCCCCCTTTTCGACTAATAAACTTGTGGACAAGATGGTTGCTGCTTGTCCAATTTCTTCGCAGCGATCTTCGAAAGGCATTCCTCACAATCTTCATAGCAAGGAGTCTTGATCGAGAAATTGAATAAGTCTTCGAGGAAGAAAAGATCCCGCATGAACGATCTTTGTGTTGAAATTTTCTTATCTTCAACATTTTCACATTGCTTTGGAGGTTGGCGAAAGCTGCTTTCCCCCCTTTCTGATTGGTGCACTTGTGGAGAAGACATATGTTTCTCGTGCAGTTTCTTCGAAGCGACATGAGTCCATCCTTCAATTTCACTTGACTTGGAGCATGCCCCCAACAGTCGAGGTGAAGACTTTGAGTCGAAAGAGCCAGAAGTGACATCTTTCTTAGGGATTTCATCTTCAGTGCCGTCCTCTTGGGTTTGTTGGCATGAAGATTTGCCAGTGTGGACGACGATGCGCCTCCTTACCTTCAGTGGTCCTTTTGTGTCGACCTCTAGGATTGCTTGGCGCTTCATCCTTGAAGGAATCAAGCTTTGAACGTCGCCTTTTTCTGCTAACCCATCGAACTTTTCTTCCTTTGGTGTTGTCTTCCTCTTTCCAAAAGGCTTCTCATTATCTTCAAATCTTTCCGAAGCTGATGGTCGCAGAGGAGAGATAGCTGTGTTGCTTTGTTTCTTAGGCTTTAACAACCTTTCAAAAACAGAGCTTTGGGATGTTGGCACGCTAAGCCTCTTGAAGACAGAGGTTCGGCCTTGACTACCAATGCGATTAAGCGTTGAAATTCTGGAGCTTGAATGGCTCATCCTATCGAAGACCGACGGCCGAGGGGCGGGTTTAGGCTCCTTTTGGTCTTGTTCAATGCTCACGCTGATGTGTTGAGCGCTAGCTTTCTTCACCTTGCTTGAAATCTTCACGGGTGCATTTGGTGTGAAGCCAAGTCCGGCTTTGTTGTTGTCAACTCCGTAACCATGCTCCTTCAACTTCTTTTGAGTTTTGGTGAGGTTAAGTTCTTTGTCATCGTCGGTGTGATTTGAAGAGGAAGCAAAGTCATGCCTAGCCTTTGACATGGGTTCGTAGGCATTTGAGTTAAAGCCTTCTTCGGTCTTCTTAGTTGGAAGAGAGCTTGGTTTCATTTTGACGCCATGCTGTGCCTCCAGACGGTTGATGAGTCCGGCGGTTTGCAAGTTTTTCTCCTCTGCATTCCGTGTGAGCTTTGTGATTGCTTCATTCATCTGAGCTAGTTGCTCCTCGATTGAAGTTGCTCCAGTGGTCATGACTTGCATGGTTGTACTGCCGCTCGAATCAGCGTCGGAGGGTAGGGACTCTGAGTATTTCCTCAGGCTTTCCCCTCTTGATGCCCTTAGCGAGGCTAGGGTGATCACAGGCTCGTGCCTCAGGTGCTCTTGTTCCTTTGACAGAGTTAATGCAGGGGCGGAAGCCACGGCAAAAAGAGCTCTTGCTTCACTTCGGGTTGTGATGCCCGAAATATCACCAGTTGCGGTGATAATGTTCTTGTTCTTCGCTTTGACTGCAGGAACAGCTTGATCCTTTCTTGATGCCATTTGCGTTTTTTTGATGATTTGAGGATAGAGATGAGAGGTAGAGATGGTCCCACCGGGCGTGCCAAATTTGTAAACACGAATTTTTCCTGAAACCAGAGAGACAAGAATACGTGTACAAAATATATTTTTGTATTAATGATTTTGGGGTTACAATCTCTTTGTAATTTGGTCCTCTGATTCTATCTTCGTAGGGTGTGGGTTTGTGGATGAGTTGTTGATCCAAAGGGCCGTCGGGGCTTGATCTAAGGATGCACAGCTGATGAATGGATCTTCAAGGGGCGTTGGGCTTGATCTTGAAGGTTGATGGATGAACGGATCTTCAAGGGCTTTTGGGCTTAATCTTGAAGGATGAACGGATGTGTGGATTTGTTGAGGTTGTTGATCCAAAGGGGCCGTTGGGGCTTGATCTTAGGATGAACGGATCTTCAAGGGCTTCTGGGCTTAATCTTGAAGGATGAACGGATGTGTGGATTTGTTGAGGTTGTTGATCCAAAGGGGCCGTTGGGGCTTGATCTTAGGATGAACGGATCTTCAAGGGCTTCTGGGCTTAATCTTGAAGGATGAACGGATGATGAACGATGAACACTTTCTTCAATGGGCCGTCGGGGCTTGATCTTGAGTTGGTGGAAGTTCTTCAAGGGCGTTGGGGCTTGATCTTGAAGGTTGATGGATGATGAACGATGAACGAAAAGTGCTTTCTTGATTCTTCGGGGTTTGCTTGAGAGCTTTAGAGTTTCAAGGCTTCTTTCTTTCTTCCTTCCTCTCCCTTCTTTTCCTTTCTCCTTCTCCTTCCTTCTTCCTCCTAAATGAATGCATTGGCCTCCTATTTATAGAATTTCAAAACTTGATTTTTGGATTTAAATAATCAGATGAAATAAATCATTTCTGCCAGGTATTGACACGTGTCATATTTGATGACTTTTCCAATTTATTTCGATTTTTTCGTTGAATCACATGCTACATATAAAATTTATGTGACACGTGAACATTGAAAATTTTAATTATTGGTCAACATTCATTTCACCGAAATTTTGATGTCTACAAAAGGCAAGCTGCATTTATTGAGCAAGTCATCGCAATGGTGTCTGTGATTATGAACCACTTGAAATGTTCATTTGACTGCAGAAGAGCCACTCCTTGGTGTGGACCGACATCATTGTTATAGCCTCCGGGCATTGTGAATGCAGCTGTAAATGTTATAGTTGTAATAAGTGTTGCAACCACCAAAAGGGTCTGGCCCATTTCCCTGTAAGTTTGCACTGCACTGGCTTCTGCCCGTTCTGCTTTTTGGTAAAATTTGATGTTGCCTAACCAAGCATGAGGCTTACGGATTACATTCTGCACGTTAGCAGTTTACAGCAGATGAACTGTTGTAGTTAAGCATTTAGATCAATCATAAATAAAGGAGATTAGTTATGTTTTTGGTACTTACCATGGGAAATCTAAGACTGCATTCTTTGATTGATCTATCAACATCAGATGCTGTCTGGCCATATTTGTTCTTAGATCTTTGATTTACTCTTCCATCCCGCGTCAAGTAGTACAAAATCCATGTTTTTCTCTCTATGGTTGCGAGATGCAAAGGCGTGTTTCCATCAACATCCGGCTGATTTATGAGCCCCTCCAGATCGGGTGTTTCTAGTATATACCTGACAACATTTACTTGCCCACCTTGGATGGCAATATGAAGAGTGTTTCGCCCAAAAGGGTCAACTAGTTCTCCCGAATCTGGGCAATGTTGAATAATTTCCCTAATGACACTGCCACGCCCTTCCCTTGCTGCAACATGAATTGGTGACTGGCCCTCTTTATCCAGAACATACGCAGTAGAAGTATCGATTTCTAGTAATCGTCGAACTGTTTTGTGATCTCCAAGGGATGCTGCATAGTGGAGAGGAGTCCTGCCTTGGTGATCAGTTTCTTTGACAAGTTGCTGTTTGAACCTTAGGAGTACTTCCACGATATCTACAATAACGAAATTAAGTTTTTATAAGAAAATACTGAACTTGAGCAACTAAAATAAAAGAGGAATTATGCTAGTGCCGACTGTTTGATGATGAATAATTAAACCGTTAAGTGCAAAGAGAAGCTAAAACATAAAGGGAGCCAAAGTATGACGTACCAAAATGCTTCTCAATTACAGCAGCATGCAAAGCCGTTTCGCCTTCTGGTCCGCCATGAGCTGATGATGGAGTTGATCTTAAAATTTGATTCACGATCTCTACCACGTCCCCTCTTGCAGCCAGGTACAAGGGAGATTCGCCGTTGTCATTTTCAAAACAGGCCAATTTGGGATCAACTTTGAGCAAGAACTCAACAATTTTTACATGACCATTCCTTGCAGCTTCGTGCAAGACCGTGTTGTTCCCCTTGTTTCCAATTCTCAGCGTCTCAAACACGCCAATGTTCGTGTTCATGAAATCTTCCTGTGACATTAATTGAATTTCACGAACCAGATAATACACTATAGAGAAGGAACCAACCCTTGCAGCCACATGTAAAGGAGTATCTCCATCCAAATTTTGCTGTGTGAGAAGGGACCTGCATCTGCTATAAATTTCAGCGACAACATTTTTATGTCCGAACTGAACTGCGACATGGAGGGCTGTGTTTCCTTGAGGTGTAAGTTGATACAGCAGGCTCCGATTGTCGTTAAGAAGTTGCTTGAGGATGTAAACATCCCCGGATTTTGCAGATACGTAGAGCCTTGGATCCATGAAAGTTTATCAGGAATGAGCTTAAGCTAGTAGTGGTAAGTAAGTATCACGTAACTATGGTCTAAAGTTCAACTTCGTTGACTATATATGGAGCAGGACCTCTTCCTTTCTCTTTTCATCCCCTCCTCTAACATTCTTTATTTTGTCTTTCTCTACTTATTTGGAAAGTTCAACTTCGTTGACGATATATGGAGTAGGACCATCACAATCCATTTGGAAAGTCAAACTTTCAAAGAAAGGAAAATTGTACGCCCATCAATCATGACCACTATTTGATATAAGAGAATTGTTATTGGCACTCTAAAAATCTTATTCTACACTCCTCGCAAGTGTATTTTTCTTTCTAAATATAGAAAGTTTGGAGTGTGGAATGAGAATTTTGAATTGCCTATAACAATTCCCTTGATGTCATTGTAATTTTTGTTTATTTCTTTTGATACAAGCTATATTCTAACTAAATTCATCAGAACTACGAGAATAAGGATTTGAACAGGTGTGCAAAGAAGAGAACACATTGTTTTAGTTAATCTAGCTAAATCCATGTCTTAATTTAGTTGTAAGTTTTATATTTTTTTTTTCTCGACATTCATATTAACAGCAGCGTATATATCTCCATCCAAATTTGGCTGTGTGAGAAGGGACCTGCATCTGCTATAAATTTCAGTGACAACATTGTTATGTCCGAACTGAACTGCGACATGGAGGGCTGTGTTTCCTCGGGGTGTAAGTTGATACAGTAGGCTCCGATTATCGTTAAGAAGTTGCTTGAGGATGTAAACATCCCCGGATTTTGCAGATTTGTAGAGCCTTGGATCAATGAAAGTTTATCAGGAATTAGCTTAAGCTAGTAGTGGTAAATAAGTATTGGTAAATAAGTATCACGTAACTATGGTCTAAAGTTCATTGGTTCAACTTCGTTGACGATATATATACGAACTACAGCAGAAGCCTTGCTAGATCTGACCATCACAATCCATTTGGAAAATCAAACTTTCAAAATCATGACCTGCATTAACTTTGTGACGTTAATAGTCAGAATTGCCAACGCGCTTGTGGGAGTCATCAAAGAAAGGAAAACACCAAAAGAAACCTAAATTGTACGCTCATCAATCATAGGTTGAGAATGAATTCCAAATTAATGGAAGGAGAAAACTTACAAAATGGTTTTACGGTAAAATCTCGACTTTCTTCATCATAATCACTATTTGATGTAATTGTAGTTTTTGTTTATTTCTTTTGATACAAGCTATATTCTAACTAAATTCATCAAAACTACAGGAATGAGGATTTGAACAGGTGTGCAAAGAAGAGAACACACTGTTTTAGTTTACCTGGCTAAATCCATGTATTAATTTAGTTGTAAGTTTTATATTTTTTTTCTCGACATTCATATTAACAACATATATATCAAATAATAATAATCTGATTGAAGATAAATGGATCTATTAAAATAATGGGTTTATTATAGTTTATGTGATCAAATAATCTTTTTGTGTTCTGGAGTCGTTACGGTGATTAGGTATTATGATTAGACACATAAGTGTCGTATTTTTTGTGTGAATATGATTTTGAGAGTCTTTCATGTTCGTTTTTCATGTTGTTCTTGTTTTAAATTCTCTGTGTTTGTTTTGCTTCTATCACATCAGTAGTGTGCTTGCGACTTCCAAGCCTGCTTCTCATTTTCTTCTTCTTTTGAATACCAACAGGATCCTCTTTGGATTCTTTTGGTAATCATCCCAGACATTCGTAAATTGTGTCTGTTTATCATATATCGTACGGTCAGTTTTTATCAGCTAGTGTTTGTATTTAATTTAAAATAAAATATTTAAAATGATTTATGACCGTACAATGTATGAACGAATATGATTCATGGATTCTTAAAATCCTCGTAAAGAGGATCAAGTGAGAATCCGGATTCTTTCAAATAAGCAGATCTTTCCCCCTTTAACTGTTATTTTCTCCTTTTTCACTCTGGTTCTTCTCCTATTTCTATTTGACTGCTTCTTCTCCTTCTCCACGATTTGCGTATTCTTGAGTAACCAAAAGCCTATCAGTTCAAAGGGTGCACTTCACTTCGTGCATATAAGTTATAACATCGAGGAAGTTGATTTACACACATCTTTTTACTTCTCACATACCCCTGTTAATTTATGTTCATTGATCTTCTTCAATTCATTCGATCCGAAGCCCAAAAACTAAAAAGATGTGGGAGAAGTAAAAAATGGTGTGTGGATATCACACAGCTTTTTTAGCCGTTTTTCTAGCATTTGGATTGAATAAAGTGAAAGATGAAATAATTGTTTGGATCTAAAATAACAATTTAGGCAAGAATGGATTAATTCGAGTTAAAAGTCATGATCCTCGACCTAGTAGTGATTCTCAAGCTAGTGGGCTTTCAGCCCAAAAGAAGACTGATATGACCTAGTCTTTTCGGTACAAATAGTTCCTGAAATTGTCCTAAAACCTCATTTTTGTCCCTCAATTTCAAAATCAATAAATGTCGTGCTTGAAATTTACTATTTGACATCAACTTTGTTCTTCTATTAGGATTCGATCAGCTATATGGTTAGTGTGTTGACATGGCACACATGTGGAATCTACAAGCCAAATGATATGTTAACACATGGATTACAAAATAATAATAATAATAATAAGAATAAGAATAATAATAATAATAATAAATAATTCTTTCAAATTCTAAAATTTATAAAAATAAAATAAAAAGCAAAAAGAATCCTCAATCTGCCACGTGAATACACTAACAGCATAGCTGATAGAATCTTACCAGAAGGATCAAATTGATGTCAAGTTACAAACTACAAAAATTACTATTCACAAAAATGAACTACGAGAATGAAAGTAAAAATCCGCCCAAATTACACACCAAAATCTCTACTAATTAATAAAACATTCATTGTCAACCAAAACCTTATGAAATTATCAGTTTAATCATCTAATTAAAACAAAACATGAATAAGAAATATGGGGCAAAAATATGATTTCACACAACCAAATTTTGCTGTTTTTTTTTTCAAAACCTCAACTACATGTAATTCTAATATATCTCTAATTAAAATAAAAAAATAAAAAAAAATAAAAAACTTCACGCTCCCACGTTCTTCTCTATCACTCCCTTCCTCTCTCCTTTTATTTCAAAAACAAAAATAAAAAAAATTTCTCACACACTTTGTGTATGCCATATGCTAGTCATAATTTAAACACATACCACTTGTTTAATTGGATTGTTTTTACTTTTTGTTTGGGTTGAAATTTTTTTTATCGTTGCATTTATACTTAAATTTTTTGGTTAATATCAGTTTATTATCCTCAAGTTTCGTGATTTTCAACATTTAGTACATGAATTTTTTTCATCCCAGAATCATACCTAAAATGTTAATTTTGGGACAGTCTCATGCATCCATTAGTTCGGCAGTTAAGTCTTTTGTTAACTGATCACATGATGCTCACGTAGACAATGACTGAACGTCACATGTCAATAAAGGTCTCACGTGGATATTAAAAATAAATTAAAAATTAAACATTAAAAAATTTAAAAATTACAAAAGAAAAAGATTGTCTTTTTCCTTAACAGAACTCGCCCGATCCCCGACACCCACCCAAGTTTGCACCGCCGCCCCATCCCTGGTCGATCTAGCCCACCTCTTCCGGGTTTGCACCATTCTCTACCAGCAACAGAACTTGCCTGAGTCACGTCTCCACTCGAACCTCAACTCCTCCGCCTTCCAACTCACCCACGAGTTCTTCCTCCAGGTCTGCAACTCCTTTCCCCTTTCATGGCGGCCTGTCTACCTCTTCTTCTGCTACACTTAGTCCCACCACCCCGATTTCACCCACACCACCGTTTCCTAGCAATATATAGCAATATATATTTATGGGTAATCAAAACCTAATAACTTCACAAACCAAGTTTGGAATAAAAAAAATTTCTAAGGAAAAGAGATTAAAAGTGGAAAACTTTGAATATTATTAAAAAAACCCAACAATTTTGTTCAAGAAAAATAGAAAGATAGGAAAAAATCTTTACCTTCCAGAACATTGAAGTGTGTTTTGGATCAGATGAGAGAATCAAATTGTTAAATCCAAATTTCTAAGCGGATATGTGTGAATTTTGTAAGTTATTTACAAGTTGAGGTCGGTGCCGTTTCTTATTGGTGGCGAAGTGAATTTTGTAAGGGGAGGAGTCGCAGAAGGTGGGATAGAGACGAATGAGGGGGATCTGGGTTCTCTGTGGAGGGAGGTGTTGCTAGTGGAGCCATTGCTGATCTGTGGAAGGAGGTGCTGCTGGAGGAGTTGCAGAAATTTGATTCACATTCTCTAACACGTCCCCCTCTTGCAGCCAGGTACAATGGAGACTCGCCGTTGTCATTTTCAAAACAGGCCAATTTGGGATCAACTTTGAGCAAGAACTCAACAACTTTAACATGACCATTCCTTGCAGCTTCGTGTAAGACCGTGTTGTTCCCTTGTTGTTCCCCTTGAAGTTGAACTTTTATTGCGTACTTTAGATTATTTCTCAGTTTTTGTTTAAACTAAATGGCTTTCGTCACCCTTCGGGTGTCGGCCAGCACGTGACCATCTCGATGTCCCTAGGACCTCGGGGTCAGGGCGTGTCATACTCTATTCAATAAATAAGAAATTACAACCCAAAGTGATTGGAAAATTATGGGCTCCGATTAAATACAAATTCCCTAGTCCCTTGTGAATGGAAAATCATCATCTAATCAATTTGTGGTGCTAGGACCATCTCCTCTTGCTCTCGCTTCTCTTGCACGCCTCCTTTGCACCATGTCCGCTTTCTCCGAATTCCAAAAATATTTAGAATTCGGAGACATCGCCTCTACAGGCTCCTTCATAATGTCACGATCTTGTTGAGCCATTCTTTCGTCTTTAAGCTCTTCTCTTTCTTGCCTAAGTAGCTCTCTTTCTTTCTCATTAGCTTGAAATAATCTCTCAGCAGCTTCAACTTTTGCCTCATCTCTAGCCTTATCAGCCTCAAATTTAGCCATTTCCCGCGCCA